TCTTTTTTTCTTGATAAGTGTGGCTAGGGGTTTATCTATTTTGTTTATTTTTTTGAAGAACCCACTCCTGCTTTCATTGATTCTTTCTATTGTTTTATTCTTCTCAATTTTATTTATTTCTGCTTTAATCTTTAATATGTCCCTCCTTCTACTGACGTTGGGCCTCATTTGTTCTTCCTTTTCTAGTTTCATTAATTCATTCATTAAAGTTCTTAATTTTAATGAAGTCCTATTTATTGGCCTTCAGTCTACTTTTTCTTTGTTGTTTGTGCTTTTGGTACCATATCTAAAAAAGTCACTCCCAAAGCCAATGTTCTGAAGATTTTCTCCAGTGTTTTTATCTAAGAGTTTTACAGTTTACTTTAAAGGTTGGATGCAAAGGATTCCTAAAGGCTGAGAGCAAAGACCACTTCTCATACAGCTTTAAATGACAATAGTTTTACAAGAAAAAAAAATCACAAAATCTCTTGTTCTCTGGCTCTCCTAGTTAATGATTTATGAAAAAGAAATGCTCACTGTTGAAAACAACTTTGAATTCTTTCACATAGTGAAGAAACATTTTGTAATGTGATTAACTGCCTTTTAATTTGTCTGAATCTATTTGTTTAGTCTAGAATTTGGAGTATCATGTTTCTTACAATAGGTCATATGTGCACATAAAGCATCTACTACCTCATAAATATGCTAATTGTGGCATGCGCAAATTATACACACACACACTGAACTGGGTGCTTCTTGCATTTTGTGTTCCCTCCTGCATGTGTAGGACTTTTCACTCAATGGGTGTGCAAGAGTTGGTACATGACTTCTTATCCTAAGTGAGCTGGAAATAGTAATTAAAAACAGTTTGATAAAACACACCAATTTGCCATGGATTTCACTAAAGTAATCTCTCCGCATAGAATATACCCATAACTATGAACACACATTTCCTAAGAATTACAAAATTTTTCTCTCATAACTGAACTGATACATTTTGAAACTTGAGAAGGGGGATGTTTAGTTTAACACCTACCGCCTTTGAGTGTTATATCCATTAAGATGATTCTCTCTGAGTTCAGACACTAATGATAAAACCATCTGTAAAACAAAATCAGTTGCAGGTTAACATACTGCAAACAGGATTACATCAGCTCTGTTCTTCTTGGTGTGAGTGGTATTTCCATTGAGATTCCCCACCTTCCCCAAACCATCCGCTCCTTGTTTTACTTTGTCAAAGTGAAAGGAGAGCAGTGCCAAGTCACTTTTACTAATAGCTTAGATTTTATGTTTAATGTCTATTATTCTGCATTCCTATTTAAGCCAATGAAAAATAGGTCATTAATTTCCTAGGAATTAAAACCAAACCCATTAAAAATAAAGCCACATTATAATTAGTTTTTTCTCTCTTAATTTAGTTATTTTAAAAAATGCTATTCATATATAAGCTTCCAAAACCAGAATAGTTAACTAATATTAAAAAATCTCTTAACATTTAACATTTTTTAGAAAAGCCATATTAACATCATAAATTTAAATTTCTTGAAGTTAGCTAAAATTTAAGGCAGAAAAAAACACAGCTTTAATACTAAGATGTAATATATAATACTATTTACAACATTTTTAATTGAAATTTTTGCTTTAACATACAATTTTTGTCAGGTTATTTTAAACGTAAACTTCGTCCAACAGCAATAGGTGTGTTTACATTGGTTAAGAAAACTTCTTCTCCCAAAAATCTTTGAGAGAATAAATGAGATGTGTTAAGAGACTAGAGAGATTGGTTGATTTAGAATCTCTTCAGGTCTCCTTCTTCTTCCTCATAATCTGCTGTTTCACATTTCTTCCTTACATGGCCAAAAATCCACCCCAGGTAGGAAGACATAAACATAGAAAAGTTAAACACCTCTTCCAGATGAGTGAAATATTACCCTTTTTGCTGATGGTACATTAAGCAATGAAAATTTCAGTATTAGTAAATTAAAATTACTCACATTTTTAAGCAAACCAGGATAGTAATCTGCAGGTGCAAACCCAAGATCTTGAGCAAAAAGACCAGCTTCTTTCATATCAACTCTGCAGGCTGTCAGTATGTGACATAACAACCCCTTAGAAACAAACAGAAAGTTCTTAAAAGTGAATGCAAGTACCTGCTACATATAATGCCTAGAGTCCAGGTCATTTGTAAATGGGGCGATCTCTATGAAATGAGTAAGCTTAATTTGTTTGAGTATCCAGTTCACTTTGGTTCAAGCTATAAAGAAGAAACTAGTTACCATTAAAATTATTACATTAAAAATAAGTAAATTTAAACAGATGTTAACAATGAAATAAAAGTCTATAATAAATGAACAGTGCTTTAACTATATTAAGAATGTGACCTTTGTTTTCAAACTCATCAAAATATTTTTATCAAAATAGATGGTTTAATACATGACAAGCACACACCACAGATTTCTAGAGAAAGGTAAGATTCTGCAAAAAATGATGCTGAGAAACCTGAAAAAAATTAGATCTTCAGCTTATGTTATTCATCAAAATATAATTGAATTTAATGTAAATAAAAGAAATCAATATAAAATTGAAACAAAAAAATAAACAAGAAGAAAATACAAGTACTTTTCACAGGTGTGAATGGGAAAGAATTTTCTAAACTGAAAACTGAGGAAGCAAATCATTGGTAGTTCTAAACAAAAGTAAAACATTGTGGTTTTTAGACAATAAAACAAGCACAAACTAGGAATAATATTAACAATAAATAATTTGTAATACACAAATACACAAATCATATGTAATCAAATTAATGTAAAAATATGGTACAACAAACACCAAAAGTGTAAAAAATGAGTCTGAACAGATTCATTGGAGAAAATGCAAATGACCAAGAAACACATGGGTAAACGGTCATCCTCATAATCAAAAAGGGGAAGTGTAAACTTCAGCATATCATTTTTCTCTTAATGGAAGAAAGATTTTTGAACACCAAATGCCAGCCTGACAGTTTGCGTAAGCTCGGAGGAGAGTGTAGATGCACACACATACACCAGCACCGCTGTGACCCACACAGGCCCCCACAGGGATGGGCGGGTGCACCATGGCCACGGCCACAGCCACCCCATGCATGGACTGCCATCGCCATGCCACCCGGAGGTTTGCCACCTCCACAGAGATGCCTTATAGGCTGATAGACGCCTGCCTTATAGAATGCAACTTGAAAATACATATTAAAGGTTTTAAAAGCATTCAAAATTTTTAATGTATCTGGCATATATTTAAGGAAATAAACCCAAGTATGACAGTGGGGATTATGCTCAAAGGCATCCACTACGATGTTATTTCTCATGGTGAATATGTCCCTCAGCAGGGAATTGTTTATCTATTATTATACCCTCACACAGTGGCTCACCGTAAGCCATTAAGATGCTTGTAAAGAATTTATTAAAGCATTTTAAATGGTTATATTATAATGTCAAATGAAGAAAGATGCAAAATTTAAAACACAGAAATAATCTCATCAGTATAAAAATAATCCATACATGGGAATAAAGAAAATAAGACCAAATGTTAACAGTCTCTGGGATGATGCTATTGTACATATGTAGTTTCTTTCTTCTTTTAACTTTAGTACATTTTCCAGTTCCCTATATGTTTATGTACTACTTAACAATCAGAAAAACATTTACTTTTTGAAAAAGTATTGCTCTGGAAACATTTAATTTTTTTAACAACACCTTTAATTTTGAGACATAATTGATACTATAAAATTCACCCCTTTCAAGTGTACAACCCAGTAGTTTTTAGTATGTTCACTAGGAAGTGGTCATGCTTCATTTATTTTTAAAGTCCTGAACTGTATTTTGTGAGTATTCATTACAAGATAACGTAGGTACACATAAGTATGTGTGTGAGTTCACCTGTAGGTACCTGTGTGAGGGCATATGTGTGCCCAAGCTCACCCATAAATACTCAAGGGGGCAGTCGAATCTGGGAAGAGGTTCCAACAGCTCTGTCAGGTGTGGGCCCACAACAGGCACACCACCACCAGGTGGGTATCACTAATCCACCATGGCCCTAGTTTCAACTTTATCATAACTACCGCACACACTCAAAAATATAAAATAGTATGATGAATTTCATCCAGCATCAAACTCAGTAAAGTGATGGAAACACTGAAGACGCTTCCTGTGCCACTTCTTCCATTCCCACCACATTTCCACCCTAGTCCCTCCGCCTGAGGAAACCTGCCCTAGATCTGGTGTGCACCCTGTTGTGTAGACCATGGCTCTTTCCATCCTTGAGTTCAGACCTGACTCCCTATCCTCAAAGCAGAACTCCTGGCAGCACTACTAATAGAGGTAGAAACCTGCCGGCCCCACAACAGATCCCACCTACTGTTTTCAAATTAGGAAAGTTCGTATCAAGTTAACAGAGTTGTTTTGATATATTACTACTTGGTAGATGTTTAAAAAGTTTAAAAACCCAACAACATGTATAATGTGATTTACAAAAATGCATCCATTGGTAGTAATCAAGACAGTTTGGTACTGGCACAAGAACAGAGCCACAGACCAGTGGAACAGAATAGAGACTCCAAACATTAACCCAAACATATATGGTCAATTAATATTAGATAAAGGAGTCATGGACATACAATGGGGAAATGACAGTCTCTTCAACAGATGGTGCTGGCAAAACTGGACAGCTACATGTAAGAGAATGAAACTGGATCACTGTCTAACCCCATACACAAAAGTAAATTTGAAATGGATCAAAGACCTGAATGTAAGTCACGAAACCATAAAAATCTTAGAAAAAAACAGAGGCAAATATCTCTTAGACATAAACATAAGCGACTTCGTCATGAACATATCTCCCCAGGCAAGGGAAACAAAAGCAAAAATTAACAAGTAGGACTATATCAAGCTGAAAAGCTTCTGTACAGCAAAGGACACCATCAATAGAACAAAAAGGTATCCTACAGTATGGGAGAATATATTCATAAATGACAGATCTGTTAAAGGGCTGACATCCAAAATATATAAAGAGCTCACGCACCTCAACAAACAAAAAGCAAATAATCCAATTAAAAAATGGGCAGAGGAGCTGACTAGACAGTTCTGTAAAGAAGAAATTCAGTTGGCCAACAGACACATGAAAAGATGCTCCACATTGCTAATCATCAGAGAAATGCAAATTAAAACCACAATGAGATATCACCTCACCCCAGTTAGAATCGCAACCATCCAAAAGACAAACAACAACAAATGTTGGTGAGGTTGCAGAGAAAGGGGAACCCTCCTACACTGCTGGTGGGAAAGTAAATTAGTTCAACCATTGTGGAAATCAGTAGGGAGATTTCTCAAAATGCTCAAAATAGAAATACCATTTGACCCAGGAACTCTACTTTTAGGAATTTACCCTAAGAATGCAGTAGCCCAGTTTAAAAAAGACAGACGCACCCCTATGTTTACTGCAGCACTATTTACTATAGCCAAGAAATGGAAGCAACCTAAATGTCCATCAGTAGATGAATGGATAAAGAAGAGGTGGTACATGTACATAATGGAATATTATTCAGCCATAAGAAGAAGACAAATCCTACCATTTGCAACAACATGGATGGAGCTAGAGGGTATTGTGCTCAGTGAAATAAGCCAGGTGGAGAGAGACAAGTACCAAGTGATTTCACTCATATGTGGAGTTTAAGAACAAAGAAAAACTGAAGGAACAAAACAGCAGCAAAATTACAGAACCCAAGAATGGACTAACAGTTACCAAAGGGAAAGGAACTGAGGAGGATGGGTGGGAAGGGAGGGATAAGGGCGGGAAAAAGAAAGGGGGCATTACAATTAGCATGTGTAATTGGCAGGGGGGTCACGGGGAGGGCTGTACAACACAGAGAAGACAAGTAGGGATTCTGCAGCATCTTACTACGCTGATGGACAGTGACTGTAATGGGGTTTGTGGGGAGGACTTGGTGAAGGGGGTAGCCTAGTAAACATAATGTTCTTCAGGTAATTGCAGATTAATGATACCAAAAAAAAATGCATCCACTGGGGAGCAAGAAAATCAGGAAATTTACAGAATCAAAGTGAACTTTTTATGAGCTATAATTAAAAGGTTCCTTACTAAAGTGAAGAAAAGGCTGGATGGAAGCCACTTGGATATTATTTGCCTTTCTTTTGGGTTCAAAACTGTTCTTTATAAACAGAAAGCAATCAAGAACTGACAACAGCCCAGGAGTTCACCTCTGAGTTATTTTCAAACACATGTGCAGTCTTGGTGACAGCAAGTAGTCACGGTCAGTAGAGGCAGGGCAGTAAATGGTGGCCAGTGTGTCACCCTCTGGGGAGTGTGTACTGAAGGAGCCTCCCTGTTCCCTGTGGCAGGTCCCTTGGCAGGGGGAGCTGGGACCGGAGTCCTGCGTGGTGTTCTGGGGAAGGAAAGCCCAGCCAGGTCTGACCAGCCATGGGCCACATCCATGCGAGGCACCCACACCAGCCAGCCACACAGGGAGGGAGAAGGCCTGGCTTGGTTTACAAATGAGAGGAGGCCAAGGGCTCCGAGCCCAGGGGCCATCTGGGTTTTCAGAGAGGAGGCCAAACTGATGCTAGATGGAGGAAGGGCGGTGCTGAAGTGCCTCACCTCTGCCGTCAGACTTCTGGCATTCCATTTAACAAACAATTCCAGCACGTACATTCTGGAAGCTGTTCTAAGCACATGACAAACAGCAACTCATTTAATCCACAGACTGTGGTATGGGTACTATTACTGAATCTATTAGACACGAGGAAACTAAGACACGCTAAGTTTAAATAATGCGCCAAGGCTGGTTACTTACTCTCTGGCCAAACCTGATAGGGATCCTCCTCTCTATATCTGCTCTCCAGAAGGTAGCCAGAAGCTTTAGAATAACAATGGGAACATGACTAGTCCTCAGCTTGGCCCCTTTGAGGCTCTCAATACCCTACGGTGAAGCCCATACTCCTGTGCAAAGTGGCAACACCTAGCCTGAGGTTCTGCAGCCCCCAGTACTATATTAAGTTTTCCAAAGTATCTCACTTAAAACCCTTTGAATTCTGTTTTTAATAAAATCCAATTAAGCAGT